TCCTTTTATAAGTATATAGCTTATAAGTTTTTCAATACCAGCTGAAGATCCAAATATTTTGAGAACAAATAAAGTAATTTTGTACATGAAGCGTAATATGCAAAGAACCTATTAAAATTTTAAAACTAAAGCAGACTTTATGTTATTGAATAAAGTCCAGTTGTCTGAAATTGACCAGTATGTGTTTATATTTCTATAATTATTAATTCTATTCTATATTATTAAGCAACCTTCGAAAACCAAGCCGTCAAGTCATTAGCAACTCCCGCAAAGTTCAAGAAAACTTATCGTAGAGGTCATCAAAAATAATTCACCAAAAGATTGTAACTTATACTTTCAAAGAACACCTGACAACATCGGACATCTCTTACATTCGGAGGATATGGACAAGCATCATTTGCCTTTTATGCTACCTGTACTAAAAGACATTGAGGAAGTGCAACAAGCAATCTGACAGCAGGCGAAAGCAGAGACATATTACACGGATGGAACATTTCAATATACTCCAAAATTTTTCTTGCAATTATTTACCATCCATGGCCTATTAAATGAGCATTATGTGTCTCTTATATTTGTTCTTCCCGACAAATGCATGGAAACTTACGTTACAGTCTTCACTCATTAATTTTTGTGACTGATTTTTAAATTTTGATTCGCAAGGCTACAATTGCTGTTTGGCCAAACACCAATTGGGTATTTATTTCACTTGACTCAAGTTAGTTTCGCAAACCCCAGAAACTTGGTTTGATAACCACTTACAAGAGAGGAGATCCCAATGGCAAGTGGCTGCACCACTTATTTGGTTTGCCATTTATTGTCAACGATTTCATGGCAGACATCCCTAACCTGCCTTCATTTACGAAAATGGCTGATTATATGGTAGAGAACTACATAAGTAATGGGAGTCTTCTCCCTCCAACTGTTTGGGCATCCCAGTCTAGCCATATACTTTTCACCACAAATCCATGCGAATCCTTTCAATCCCATTTTTCCAATAATTGTTTTTACCATTCCCATCCAATATCCTCACTTTTGTATCTACAGTACCAAACAATGGTGTACATAAAACTGCAGAGTTTACATGTACCTATTAGGACACTCAATAGGAAGGTCAACCAGGCTGGAGACATCTTTTTGAAAGTTAGAATTATTAATGGTCAATAGTGGGTGAATTTTTTAAACAATTGGCAGGGCTTATGATTTTGGGCTTTTGAATTATCTTGAAGGTATAAGAGACTTCAATTCTAGATAAGTATTCCTACTTATAGCATTTTTTACAAGAGAAATTTCTAAGTGGTCTTGTTTTAGATAATAACCTCGTTAGCTGGACAAAGGATAGTATCCCACAAAAATTAGAAACCCAATAAAAGTCCTTATTTCGTCCTTTGATGTGGTAAAGTTCTGTTTATTCTTTACCTCTTTAGCATAGAGAACTGTTTTGGTTATAATAAGAGCATATACTTTATCATCAAAAAATTGTTGGAAATATTATACATCTATTCTTTTTCCTTTTATGTCACTCACAACACCTCTTAAATTTTTTATATATTATTTTTTATATCACTATTTTGGGACAATTGTATCACGGACAAGTTTTTTTGAAATTTCTTATACACTTTATCATCAAAAAATTGTTGGAAATATAATACAGGAGTTTTTCATTTTATGTCACTCACTGCATTCTTACATTTTTTATATATACACAGTGGCGGTTGGTATATAAGTGCTGCGGAACTGCAGAAGCACCAAAATAATCCAAACAAAATTACTTTGAAAATTAAATAAAAAATATCACTACTTATAAAATCTAAATTCATTTAGATGGTTTTCGTGCATGGCCGCCTTTATTTTAATCTGTCGTCCCTCGCATCTCATGGCGACAGCAAGTCCCACTTATTTGACCGGACCGGTGCTACTCCGAGCTGTGAACTGTTAAAGATATCCCCGATAACACCCGCTCCACCCCTCGCCTACACTTTTCAGGCGACGACTGAAAGCAATATTTGAGCTGCATTTGTCGCAGTTCGAACTAGTGTGTACAAACACAAACCTACGTTTATTGTAATTTTAAATAATCGGTGATCGCGACGCGACGACTGTTAAAATAAGTTATCCTGCACGTAATTCGGTATTTATATTAAGTATATGAGAATAAAAGTGCTGTTCAGGATGGATGTTATTTATAATTTGATTAATGTTAAGAGATTCTTTAAATATTCTTATGACGAAAAACTAGAATTAAAATGCAAAGGACGTCCTTTGCCGGATATTAAAATCGAAAAAGAAGGATCAAGCCGAGGGAAAAATTATAAACGACAATTTAATTGCGATATTTATACGAGAAATAGTTGGATATGTGGCTGCAACAAAGAAAACGTTCTTTTCTGTTTTCCTTGTGTACTCTTTGGATGTGATAAGTCATGGACGCAAGTTGGTGTAACATTACATTTAAGTGATAAAATAAAAAAGCACGAAACTTCTAAGCATCATTTGCACAATCAAATGGAATATGCTTTATTAGGCTCCGTGAATATTAAAGAACAGTTAGATTCTGCATACTGGATAAATATTCAAAAATTCAATGAAGCTGTAACAAAAAATAGGTATGTTCTCTCAAAAATTATAGACTGCATAAAATTTTGTAGTGTTTTCGAATTGGCGCTTCGGGTACACGACGAGACACAAACATCCGACAATCCTGGAATTTTTCGCGGCCTCATAAATTTTACTGCTGAATTGGATGGAACTTTAGCACAACACTTGGAAGAATCGACGGTTTTTAAGGGCATTTCTAAAGAAATTCAAAATGATATTTTGGACTGCATGTTGGAATTATGCCAGGATAAAATTTTGGAGGAAATTCGGGAATCTCCATATCTAGCTGTCATGGCCGACGAGACTACAGACATTTCAGCAAAATCACAAGTGGTTGTAGTATTTAGATATTGTCGAAATGGAGCACCGGTAGAACGATTTTGGACATATTTGGTATCTTCAAAATTAAATGCAGATACTTTAAGCAAAAACATTTTCAGTGTTTTGGATCCTATCCTGGAAAACTCAAATAATAAACTAATTGCTCAGAGTTATGATGGGGCAGCGGTCATGTGTGGACAGCACGCAGGAGTTCAAGCCAGAATCAAAGAAAAATATCCATTTGCTCATTTTGTACACTGTTACGCGCATCAATTAAATTTAATAATGTCTAAGGCTTGTTCCGAAAACTCTCAAGTTAGACTTTTTTTTGGAAATTTAAATGAAATCCCTACCTTTTTTAAAAATTCGCCACAACAAGTGGCAGTTTTAGATAAAATCGTCCAAAAGAAAATTCCTCATGGCGCTCCAACTCGCTGGAACTTCAATATTCGAACTGTTAATGTTGTGTTTGAACATCGATCTTCTTTTATCGAATGTATGAAAGAAATAGAAGAATCGTTTGATAAGGCAGCTGTCTGTAGTTCAGCGTCTTCCATTCGAAGAATACTAGTGGATCAAAATTTTGTTTTTTGGTTAACATTTTTCCATCACATAATGCCACAAGTAGATGTTTTGTATAATGCCCTTCAAAAGACTAAAACGGATCCTTTGGAAATCAATAAAAAGGCGACAGATTTCGAAAGATACATGAATTCAGTTAGAAATTCAATAGATGATACCATTGACCAAGGTTCTAGTTTATGCGTTGAACCATTACCAACTAAAAGGTTACGGAAAGATAACAGTCAGTAGATCATCGGAGAGCATCTATTGAAGTTTGTGATATAATCATAAATGGTACAAATGATAGAGTTGCTTTTAAAAATCACCTACTTGCAACTTCATTGCTTTATCCTGAGCAATTTGATAATTATTGTGATAATTTGCCAGATGATAATTTAAGCCTAACTTGCGTGTCATATCCAAATTTAGATAGGGAGAGCTTGAAGACTGAATTATCTGTTATTTATTTTAGAAGAGACTGTAGAGACATTCATGGAACAATACCTTCTTTAAAAATTTTAATTGAAAATAATTTAACAGAGCCTTTTCAAGAAACTGTAAAACTGCTTCAAATTCTAATTACAGTGCCCATTAGTACGGCAGAAGCTGAAAGGTGCTTTTCGAGTTTAAAACAGATTAAAACATTCTTGAGAAATTCCATGACTGAAGACCAACTTGTAGCATTAACCATGTTGTCAGTAGAAAAAACACTTATAAAAGAAATACCAAACTTTAATGAAAAAGTTATAGACAAGTTTGCTTTAAAAAAAAAATCAATGAATCGAGCTTATTTATAAAAAAAAATAATATATTTGGCTTTGTGTGTAGTTAGTTCGTAAGACCCTATAATGCAATTATTGTTGTGGCGATTTTGTTTGTAGTGTTTTTTCGTTTGCATTCAGTTGCATAGTGTTTTCTTCTTTGCAAAAGAAGAAAATCGGTAAGTTTTTTATTATTTTTTAATAGATATATAATGAATAAATATATGGTGTAAAATATCAAACTAAAAGCCTCATTGTAAAATACAATGATTAAAAGATATTGAATTAAAAAAAAACCAAAAAATACTGCGGAACTACCAAATTTTTGAGTCACCAGCCGCCACTGTATATACATCACCATTTTGTGACAAATTGTACTGCAGATGAGTTTTTTTGGAATTGGATGTTAGTTTCTGTGGTTTCCATGGTATATACTATACTTATGGATAATCTTATAAATTACTTAATTACAAATTATATAAAATTGGTTTACTTTCTTACCTATTTTTTAAATGCCCAGAAATTGCCACCAAGTCTAGTAAATTGGATCACTGTTAGTGTATATTTAAACTTGCAATTTAGTTACTAACAATAATCAATTGCACTGATACTTTTTTGTTTTAGCTGTATTTCCCAACTATACCTTAGTCTAGTAATAGAATCCTGCTCAAATTTTATTATCTGTCTATTTTCAAATTAAATGTCCTATTTAATTTCTAGTTATTATGATTTCTAGATAAAATAAGTCTCAGCACTTACTAAAAAATCCAAGTTATGTGACATATTATGAAAGAGTCCTCCAACCATAGCAGCTAAATGAATGACATGTGTTGGCTGATGTTTTTCAAATATTTTTTTAGTCTCATTATAATCACTAAAATTAATAACCAGGTAAGTATTGCATTTAAATACAACAAATGTCCACTAAAATCAAACAATGAAAAAAGTTGAAAATGCCTTGCTATAAACTAGAGTTCCATAATGAATAAATCTCTATAAATTGTAGAAAACAAAAAATCAAGTTGCTTTAATAACGTAATATGGTGCAAAAGTACTTCAATTAATAAGTAAAGGGAAGATCTAGAAAAGAGAGCTAACACTTCAACAAGATCAGATATTAGAAAACTGTTTCCTCTTGTGTCATCTCAGCTGTCCAAAGAATTTGGATACAAACTATGAATTGTAAAATGTTTTTGCTTGCAAATTGGGAAATACTATTTGTTAATTGAATCCAAATTATATCAAGGAAATAACATTTCTGACAAAATAACAAAACATGTAGAAAATATTGCTCTAAATGCATAAGACAACATAAAAACAGGAAGCGAAAAAGCGAGAAACATGTCATCAATATAAATGAATCATGGACGTATAAATAAAGACGTATATATCTTTATTTATACGTCCATGAAATGAATGCTTACCAGAAGAAACAGTCAAATGAACATAATATAGACTTTATGTGAATAATCAAAATTAAATTTATGTCTGATTGATTGAAAGCAAATAAAGACATTGTAGTAATTAATAATTACAACATATTACTTAATAGTATGTTGATTTGACACAGTTTTGCAAAATCCTTTCCAACTTTTTCCAATTAGTAATAGCTATAGATAAATATTTCAAATATTTACCATAAATCTCCATCCTTACTGCTTAAAAATATCCAGGTTTCATCTGTTCGTTTTTCTAATTGAATTATTTCTTTTATAGCACTGCCAACTAACCCTGTTCCTCCTGTTACTAGAATCACCTTATTTTTTGTCATATTTACCTAGAAAGTAAAGCCTTAAACTCAAGTAACTGTAACGAAATCGACACATAAAATATGCTTGAAAAATATTTAATCAATGATCTTACCTTGTTACAATCTTAATATACAATAAACTAATTACAAATACTTGAAAAGCATCAAAAACCTCCAACACAACAATACAATATGAATACAATTTAAAAATCAGCTGTTAACCTCTTTTATACTGTGGCTGTGAAATTATATTGCAGTAGTTCAAATGATGTTGTTTCTCTGGCCATGCATGCTTTTTTATTCAGCTACATTTTAATTTCGTATTGACAGAATTCAGTTTAAAGAAGTTGGAACTTATTACGTAAAAATCCTAACCTTACAAACTAGAGAAAATGGCAAGTAAAGGGATTTTAAGGAATTTAAATAATTATAACAGGTTTTGTCTATTTTCAAACATAAACAGACCTTTATCATCAGGCAAGATAATTTATAATAAATCAGCATCTTCTGGTAATTCTATTCCAAATGTACCTGGCCTTTCAGACAATTGTGTAAAAGTAAGTCTGCTAATTCATTATTTTCCAATAATTTTTCCTTATTCTTTTACCCATACCATTATTCTTTTAGATACCCAATTCACCTGTAGGTCCTGGAGCTGCAAAAAATACTGGGTATAAGAATCCAGAATACTTTTGTTATGACAAAAACAGTTACTTTGAAGCTGAGGTAGAAATGTTAGAACATCGCTGTCCCCAACCATCTGTACATGTACCATACTATCCTAGCTCTAAATAGATTATATATAATTAAAATTTATGTTTTAGAATGGTAAATAAACAATTTTATTATTTAAAAAGCAATGTTGTTTCATCCTTCTGTCTACATATATCATTATTTATTACTACAAAAATTATTGATTTTTCCCACATAGTATTAACATCAACCTTTTGTATCCATTCCATGCTATATTTTGAAAGGTACACACACACAGTGCTGTAGATGCTGTGGGAGAGGCTGATAAAATTTTCAAATTTACTATTATGATTATCAAACACTTCTATTTCTTCTGATTTTCGTTATTACCATCACCTTCATCCTTCTTGTATTAGAAACCCATGTCAACTATATCCTTGAACTAGAAATATAACGAAAGAACTTGATTAGCAGAATTAATTATGATACATATTTCTTTCCACTAGAGCTGACCTGCAATTAATTAGTTACCATCATGGGAGTAAATAGTTAATATGAGTTTCAGGGTCATCCACCTTGTCAAAGGGTTGTTGGCACTAAATGGATAAACACCCATCACTGTATGTACACTGATCTATTTTACATATGGGTCCACTAGCAAGTCCTATACCCACCTCCTCATTGGTGGACATGAAACACGGCGCACATAGCTTGAAAATAACACCTAGGGTTATGTGTTAATAGTAATAGCTTGGATGCAATGTGCGGGGTCCAAAGAGACTGTTTTTACGATTTGGGCGCCTTTAGTATGTATCAATAATCCATAATTAAACTCTTTCTGATGTTAATTTCATGTTTTTATTTACAAATCAATAATAATAAGCAATTTTTAATAATTTTGGCAGCTGCTGTGACGTATTTGCTTGTATAATTGGTTCACAATTTGTCGATAGCTCACTACAAGTTTAACCCTAATTAGAGAACTGAAATACAGAGAGGATAGGTAATACGATATAATGGTAAAAACCAACCTGAAACTGATGGTTTAACCCTTTCAGTCATGAGTTTTTGTTTGTAAAGATAAAAATTTTAAACTTGGAGGTTGAGATATATGATTTTTTTAAAGATTTATAAACAAAAAATTTTGCCCATAGAACTAGTTTTTTTTGAAAAAAATTAATGTTCGTTAAAACGACCATGGTGACTCAAGAGTTGTGCATGTACAAAAAAACACCAAAAAATAGTAAAAAACATATTATTTATTTAGAATGAAAATCAACAAAACAATTACGTTCACGGACAATACATAAATGAATTTTGCATTTACTACAACTAATGTGTGTCTTTTTCAGACAGGTTCCATTTTTACACCTTGCACCTTGCTTGCTCTGGTCAAATATGGGCAAATGATCCACGCCGTCAAAACGAACTTCTCTTAATGGCCTTTGCTCCATCTTCAATTTTTTGGTGATTGGTGGTGTACAAGATTCATTATTGCTTGATGGACGTCCTACCTTTTTTTTTATTGGTATACCTGCATGTATAAGGGCTTCTGCAATGTACATTCTAAAACTAATCAAATCCAACAATTTGTTTTTGGGAACATTTATTATTCTGGATTTCTCTTTGTATTCTAACCAGGAATTTACACAGGCTATATCTATCGCATGGGTGAACATTCTAAGTGTCCACTTTTTACTTCTTATGAATGTTCTATAAATACTTATGAGGAAGTCTAGTTTGTCGACTCCGCCCATACATTCATTGTATAATTTTACAACTTCTGGTCGAGCTATGTGAACGTATTCTTTAGCAGATTTGTCCCATCTCTTACATTGGTCAGTTGTACCAACACTTACAAAATTTGATGACATAATCACTGGTTTGTTATCATACCATTTTGTAAGAATAATACCATCCTTACTAAGAACTTCCTCAGAAGTACCTCTAGGCTGCTTTTTTAATATTTGGTCAGATGTAAAAGGAGGATTTTGAAAACGGTTAACTCTAGCTGTACTTGCTGCATATATGTTCTTACTTTTGAGATATTGAAGTAGATTGTAACTCGAAAAATAGTTATCATAATAAAGTTTTACGTAATCTATGTTTATTCTTTCACATAATTTAATTACTGTAGCAGCACCAGCCCCAAATATACTGATATTTTCTTTATTCACTTCAGTAGTTTCTCCTTGATAAATAATAAAATCATAAAGTAATCCGCTTTTTCCACACAAAGCAAACAATTTTACGCCCCAGGGGCACGGTTTACCTTTTATATATTGCTTCACGTTTAACTGCCCTTTGAATGGTATTATCTGTTCGTCTATACACAAATTGGCCTCGAGATCTAATGTATTACATCTCGACTTTATTGCATTATACAACGGTCTTACTTTCCATAAACGATCTTGGTTGTTTCGGTCTTGCTCTAAATTGTTAACAAAATGTAAATTTTGTCTCAATTTGTAAAATCTATTCACATTCATATTTTCTCTGATAATTGGGATGCCTAATTTGGAATCCCAATAGAATCGGGTCCTGGGATAATGTAAGTTACCCATCATGATATGAATGCCGATAAATAATCTAATCTCTAACAGATTTGTAGGAGCAAAGTTGTTAACGTTGTTTTGAACCGCGTATAAATTTGTCATTTCAACCATAGTATTACAGAGGTCATCATTAAAATAGTTGCAAAAATATTTGATTGGGGATAGTATCTCAACTATTTCAGTATCAATAGGTTTGTACCATGGTAATGGTGGTGTTAAATATTGCACATTTTTCATCCACTCTATATTCTCTTTATAAGTGAGACCGTTTGCTTCACAATATTGTTTCATATATGCCTTAGATTTATATTTATTAATTTTTGTTCTATCTTTATCTTCTTTAGGACCTTCAACCAATTCGTCTCGTTTTTCGTCTTCACCTACTTTATTTTGTTCTTCGGTGTCAGATTTCTGTTCTTCAGATCTTTCGTCATTATCTAAAATTTATTTATATTGTCTAAACATGGTATTACTTGATCAATATTGCTTACCTTCTAAATCAGAATGATCAACATCTGAGGTATCCTGTGACTTCTGTAATTCATCATCTTCCTCATCATCGCTCATAACTTCAATATCTGACAAATTATTGATAATATCAAGAAGTTCAGCTTCAGTAAGTGGCTTTCTAGACATGTTTTCGAAATAAGAAATCTGAAAATTAAATAACCTTTGAGTCACCATGTTCGTTTAAAATAACACATGATTTTTTGTATAAAACTATATAAAGTAGCTAATATTTTTTATGTTTTTGTACATACATATAAAAACTAACAATTAAGTACCTATAAAATAATTTTAAAATTATATTTTAACTTACCTAATAAGTTTAAACACAAAGGAAATATCACGAATTGCAGCTAACCTCAAAATGTGTGTTACCATGCGCTACTTATCAACCAAACTGAGCTGTTCGGAACAAGCGTGACACTGTGACTTGTATAACGTGCAGAGACGATGTTCGTTTAGAGGATCATGGTGATTCAACGTAAAAAATAGGAATTAGCTATCGTTGGCGCTTATGAAAAGTTGATGTTCGTTTAAACGAACATGGTGACTGAAAGGGTTAAGATGTTTTTGACTAACCCACTTTGTATCTGAAGGAATACAATACAGCGATCAACCTTATAATCCGATTACGAAGGTATTTTCGTTACAGATGACCGACCAGTGTCGTAGAGTATATTATTGAAACATTTATGTGAACTAAATATATTTTTTAAACTGTGCTTATGCAAATTGTATTTTTGTTTTAATAAATCTTCTTTATTTTATTCAAAAATAAAAAGTATCTTGTCATTTGTAAAAGATACATTTATTTAATTAAGGGGAAAGGTGCTAAATGTCGCCTGGTAAAATTTTCAATGGGTGTTAAATGTATCCATTATTTTCAAATCCGGAGAAAACTAATAAATATTTTTGAAAAATTTAAAACGCAGAATGAAAGATTACATTATTATTGAGGGCAAAAAGTCCCTGAAAACTTCTACAATGTTTATTTTAATATATTATTTAATTTAATATATATGCCGCCTTTGAAGTTTTTCAGCACGCGCACCATGTTTTAGAAGGAAACACATCTTCTTCTTCAAGTGCCCTGTCCGTTGCGAACGTTGGCTATTAACATGGCAATTTTGATCTTGTTTGCGGCGCTTCTGAATAGTTCGACCGATGTGAACCCGAACCACTTCCGCAGATTTTGGAGCCACGAGTGTCTTCTCCTGCCTGGCCCTCGATTACTGTCTATTTTTCCCTGGACAATCAATTGTAGCAGACGGTACTTATCGTGTCTCAATATGTGGCCTAGATATTCAAGCTTTCTTTGCTTAATTGTATTCACGATTTCTTTCTCCTTTCCGATTCTTTGGAGTACCTCTATGTTAGTGACATGTTCGGTCCAGGATATACGAAGAATGCGTCGGTACACCCACATTTCGAATGCTTCTAGTTTTCTCGTTAGCGTCTCCGTCAGCGTCCAGGCCTCCACGCCATACAGCAAGATCGGAAAAATGTGGCATTTAACTATACGTAGTTTTAGGGGAAGAGATAAATCCTTGCTTATGAGGAGCTTTTTCATATTGCTAAATGCTGCTCTAGCTCGTTCTATTCTCGCCTTAATTTCTATGGTCTGTTCCCATTTTGCATTGACGTTGGTGCCAAGGTACACATAAGACTCTACATGGTCAATTAATATGTTACTTATCCGTAATTGTCGAGCAGGTTGTTGCTTTTTGCTTATCAGCATCCACTTTGTCTTCTTGAAGTTGAGGCTCAGGCCGTATTCCTCACTAACTGAATAAAGTCTTTCCATTACTTGTTGTAATTCGTCTATGGTACTGGCAAGGATCACCGTTTATTTTAATGTCCTCATTTGCATTTTCCATACATTTGTTAAATATTTCCTCGTAATACATATTGAATAGGAGTGGGGATAATATACACCCCTGACGGACACCTCTTTTGATCTGCACGCTTTCAGTGAGTTCGTTGCCAATATTTGCTCTTGCTGTTTTGCACTTTGCCAGAGGAAACACATAACACAGGCATATGCTTTGTGAGGTTATGTAATTATTTATATTTATTTTATTTATTTATTTATTAAT